GTATATTTATTTTTGGGACAGAGAGAGACAGAGCATGAACGGGGGAGGGGCAGAGAGAGAGGGAGACACAGAATCGGAAACAGGCTCCAGGCTCCGAGCCATCAGCCCAGAGCCCGACGCGGGGCTCGAACTCACGGACCGCGAGATCGTGACCTGGCTGAAGTCGGACGCTTAACCGACTGCGCCACCCAGGCGCCCCTCCCTTATTTTCCTTTAAATGGCTACAAAGTCTGGTGATTTCCATTCATTCTTGATATTGGTGAGCTGTATCTTCTGTTTCATCAAGCTTGTTACAGTTATATCAAACAATCAACTTTCAGTTTCATTGCATTTTCTCTACTGGTTTTCTCTTTTTAATTGTATTGATTTCTGCTTTCTAAATTTATTTTTTATTTTTTAGAGAGAGTGTGCATGCATGTGTGTGCTACTGGGGGGGGGGGGGGCGGACAGGGAGAGAGGGAGAGAATCCCAAGTAGGCTTCACACTCAGCACAGAACCCGATGCAAGGCTCGAACTCATGAATTGTGAGATGTGCATGACCTGAGCCAAAATTGAGTTGGATGCTTAACCGACTGAGCCACCCAGACGCCTCCTGATTTCTGCTTTTATCTTTGTTATTTCCTTCTTTCTGTTTGATTTGAGCTTATTTTGCTCTTCTCCTCTGAGTTTCTTAAGATAGAAGTTTAGATTATTGATTAATACCTTTCTTCTTTGTAATATATTGTTTAATGGTATAAAACTCCCGCTAGGCCCCGATTTAGATGTTTTACTTTCATTTTTTTTTCCAGTTCAATATATTTTTAATTTCTCTTTGACTCATAGATTACTTACAGGTATGTTGTTTAATTTCTAAGTGTTGGAAGATTCTCTTGTTATGCTTTTAGTATTGAGTTCTAGTTTAATTCCTTTATGGTCAGAGAAAGTATGTTGTAAGCTTTAAATTCTTTTAAATTTATTAACTTTTGATTTATAACACAGCATATGGTCTGTCTTAGTGACACTCCATGAACACTTGATGATGTGTATTCTACTGTTGTTAGGTGGAATGTTCTATAAATGTCAATTAGATCCTGATGTGTTTATATTTAGGTTTGACATTTTATTATTTTCTGTTTGTTCCCTCTATTCATTGTCATTGTTGTTCCACTGTTTCTTCTTTCTTGCCTTCTTTTGGGTTCTTTGAATATATTTTAGAATAGTATTTCATTTTAATTTATATGTTGTGATTTGGACTATATCTCTCTGTATGGTTTTTTAGTGTTTGCTCTAGCAGGTACAAAACACATACTTTTCACAGTCCATTAGATTCAAAATTTTACCATTTCAATTGGAATGTAGAAACATTAGCACCATATAGGTCCCTTATCTTCCTCTTTTTTACGTTAGAGTTGTCTGTACATACGTTACACTCAGAAGACCGATCAATCTTACACCTTTTGGAGAACTCAAGAATGGGAGGACAGCCTATATAATATCTACCCATATATTTGCCATTTCCGTTGCTCTTCCCTCATTCCTGATATTCCAAGTTTCCTGCTAGTATAATTTTCCTTTGATATGAAGAACATCGATTAGCAATTCTGGCAATTCTGGCTATGAATTCTCTTATTTTTCCTTCATTTGAGAATGGCTTCATTTCACCTTTATTACTAAAACAGCTTTTACTGGATACATAATTCTGGAGTAACAGTTCTTTTCTTTCAGCATTTGAAAAAATGGGCCACTTCCTTCTGGCCCCATGGTTTCTGATGAAAACTCCACAGTCATCTGAATCATTTGTTCACCTATAGATATTGTAAAATTTTTCTTTCAATATATTTTGTCTTTCATTTTCAGAAGTTTTAATGTGATGGCATGGATTTGGGGGATTTGTTCTGTTCTAGTTTGTACAGCTTCTTAAATATGCATTTGTATATCTTTTCAGCACTCCAGTCGTTCTCTTCCCCTTCTGAGACTCTAAGAACACAAATATTAGACCTTTAGATGGTTGTTCCACTAGTCCCTGAGGCTCTTTTTGGTTCTTTTGAGTCTTTTTTTTCGTTCTCCAGAATGAATAATTCTATTGGTCTGTCTTCAAGTTCAGTGAATCTTTCCTCTGTCATCTGCATTCTGATATTGAGTCCGTTGATTGGGCATTTTTATATCAATTATTGCATTTTTCAGTTCTGAAGTTTCCATTTGGCTTTTTCCTGTTTCTTCTGTCTCTTTGCTGATGCTTTGTATTTTAACTTTTATCTCAGGGGTGTTCATGATTACTCATTCAAGCATTTTTATAATAGCCACTTTAAAGTCTTTGTCAGATATTTTTATAATAGCCACTTTATTTTTTTAATATATGAAATTTATTGTCAAATTGGTTTCCATACAACACCCAGTGCTCATCCCAAAAGATGCCCTCTTCAATGCCCATCACCTACCCTTCCCTCCCTCCCGCCCCCCCATCAACCCTCAGTTTGTCCTCAGTTTTTAAGAGTCTCTTATGCTTTGGCTCTCTCCCACTCTAACCTCATTTTTTTTCCTTCCTCTCCCCCATGGGTTTCTGTTAAGTTTCTCAGGATCCACATAAGAGTGAAACCATATGGTATCTGTCTTTCTCTGTATGGCTTATTTCACTTAGCATCACACGCTCCAGTTCCATCCACGTTGCTACAAAGGGCCATATTTCATTCTTTCTCATATAATAGCCACTTTAAAGTCTTTGTCAGATAATTTCGCCATCTGTGTCATCTTATCATTAGTGTATGTTGATTACCTTTTTGTCATGCAAATTGACACATTCATGGTCTTCTTCACGTACCAAGTAATTTTGCATTGCATCCTGGACATTTTGCCTATGACTTTGACTCCAGGTCTTGTTAAGTTTTACGAAGAATGTCAATACTTGTGTTGTAGCAGGCATATGACCTGGTCAGGCATAAGCTGCACATTCTGTCTCCTTCTCTGGCCTGTGCTTCCAGGGTCAGCCCACTTTCCACAGCCTTTGCGCTACTGTCCTGGCCCTTCCTGCATGTGCACCGCCCAACAGTCAGCCTGGGATCTGGGTGTTGGTCTCTCCCCTGTGATCATTCTTTGGTATGCTCATTGAGATCAGATCTACCAGTGTGTTTTAACTTTCATTTGTTTGCATGTAATTTTTTTTATATTCTTAACTAAAACTTTATTTTTAAATTTTTTTTCAACGTTTATTTATTTTTGGGATAGAGAGAGACAGAGCATGAACGGGGGAGGGGCAGAGAGAGAGGGAGACACAGAATCGGAAACAGGCTCCAGGCTCTGAGCCATCAGTCCAGAGCCCGACGCGGGGCTCGAACTCACGGACCGCGAGATCGTGACCTGGCTGAAGTCGGACGCTTAACCGACTGCGCCACCCAGGCGCCCCAAACTTTATTTTTAAAAAATTTTAAATATAATTTATTGTCAAGTTAGCTAACATACAGTGTATATAGTGTGCTCTTGTTTTCGGGGGTAGATTCCCATGATTCATTGCTTACATACAACACCCAGTGTTCATCCCAAGAACTTCCCTCCTCAATGCCCATTATCCACTTTCCCCTCTCCCCCACGCCCCATCAACCCTCAGTTTGTTCTCTGTATTCAAGAGTCTCTTATGGGTTTGCCTCCCTCTTTTGAAACTATTTTTCCCCTTCCCTTCCCCCATGGTCTTTTGTTAAGTTTCTCAGGTTCCACATAGGAGTGAAAACACATGATATCTGTCTTTCTCTGACTGACTTATATAACTCAGCATAACACCTCCAGTTCCATCCACGTTGTTGCAAATGGCAAGATTTTATTCTTTCTCATTGCCAAGTAGTATTCCATTGTATATATAAACCACATCTTCTTTATCCATTCATCAGTTGATGGACATTCAGG